TTTTTTTTTATATTTTCAAGGAAGTAATTTTAAATTTAACAATCTTTAATTTTATAATTCTCACAGAATACATAAAAATCTAGGTAATCGTAAGTGATTATTTTAACCAGATTCTCTTCACATATTTCACAGGGTATTTTAAGTTATAATTTCATAACATAATAGATTTCCAAAATGTCTCTAATATATCTTTTCTTACAAGACTATTGGGCCATAAAATTGTGTTCCAAAATACACTTTTCTAATGTTAAAAATACAGATATGGGTTGCATATATCTAATTTCTCTCTCTGGTGTGGTAGAGAGAGAAATTAGATATATGCAACCCATATCTGTATTTTTAACAGATATAAATTTTATAATCCCATAACAAAAATGGAATTCTGTAGTATGAAAGTGATAGTTTATGACTTTTATTATTGTCTGTTTTTGATCTGAGCCTGCATTTTTACTGATGGCAGAAAAACTGAATCTAAAGACTTTAGGAGTAGAATGAGCCCAGTCCAGTGATTTCTTGGAAATTCAAGGTTTGCTTCATCATCTAGTTCACAAATACCATCAGGATTTTTTTCTGCTTCCTCGGTAGTGGGAAAAGGGGAAGAGGGCCCAACATATATGATGGGTAGGAGTTTGTAATGAGGAGAAAACCTCCATCTGACTGTCCAGTTGGTGTCAAGTGTTGGCACAGTGATTAAATCTTTATTTTCTCGGTATGTTACATAATTTAATATTGACTCTTAGGGTAGTGTGTTAAATGGGAGAAGCTGCCCATCTGGACTCATTGTAGCTTCCTGGTACAGGTGATGGTTTTATTTTTTTTCTGTTTTTTCTTTTTTTTCTGATCATCTCATTCCTCGTTTTGTAAAGTGTGTTGTAGCCCAAATGCAAGGTTGTCTACCTCTCGCCTGGGAGATCTCTTGGCAGAGCCAGCTGCTTTCTCTTTTACCCATATTCTGAGTCTTCCACTTGGGCATGTGGGAAACTTATGGTTCCCCCTCTGTGTCTAATTGTGATCTTCTAAAAATGGGAGATTGTAGGAAGAAATAAAGTAAGTGTCTGGAACTGTTTTTCTTTCTCCTCATCTTTAAAATGTGGTTAATAATAGCAATTGCCTGATGGTGTTGTTGTAATTGGTAAATGAAATAATGAATTCCTGGATAAGGGATTCAGAAATGATCTGTTCCAGAAAAGAAATAGGGAAGGAAGAAAGGATATGAGTAGCAGGAAAAGTGCATTTTATCAGCTACTTTAAACAGGCATATCCTAATAGTCTTGGAAACCTGAGTCTTGCAATCAGTCTCTTACAACCTAATGGTTGAAGTTCTTGACAACATTTAGTAGAATTCCCTAAGAAACTGGCAGG